ACTCTTTTTACTAACTTCTGAGAAGAAAATCAACCCAAATAAACTAAGACTAGTTATAATTATGAGTTTTTAACACCAAAATACGACTAGTACATCAGCCTAGAATCTTCAGCGATACACATCCGTTAAAAATGATTGGTATTAGACCCACAACAGCAAAAAATGCCGTGTAATAATTTTGATCAAATTAGTGCAACATCAAACGAAAACTATAAATCAACTTTTCAAGCAAATACGTCATTACAGGACAATATGACTTGATGGCAAAAGATAGCTATCTATCCCCCATTTTAGGTCATCTGCATATGGGGCGCGAAGTGTTTCTTTAATATTTACGGAATTTTTAATGTTTAATTTCATTATTTATTAAATAACAAAACGTAATAGGTTAGTTATGTCAAATAACCAATTTGCCAAAACATGGTTATTTAACAAATAACCATGTTTTGGCAAGGGCGTAACTAGACTTGAAGTAATGGGGGTGTGGAGAAAATTTGCCCTGCAAAAGGGCGTTGCGCACAAAAACCCCTTAAATCATTATGGCTAGCAAATTATAATCATTTCTATTATTGCATGCGTTGTTTATTAGTAAACATTATTGTAGATTAGGTTTCTAACACATACATTTTTACGCAATGTTACTGTTCTCAGGGTAACGATTGAGCTTTGGTTGGTATGGGCCATCCTCAATTATTTTTTTCTTCCGAAGATCAGTTAACAGTTTTGGACGGTCGGCGGGATCAAGGAGCAGCCCAAGATCATTTTCTTCTTCCAAAACACCAATTTAAGATTTCTCAGTGCAAATAGCTTGGAGAATATCCTCACAATTGCTTTGTAAACGTATGGCCATGTTACTAATCTTCTTTACGTATTCAAAGACATGCATTACAATTTCTTAAGTAAACACTATTTACAACGTTTCAGTGACAGTTTTTTTGCAGTGGTTAACATTTTCAGCCAATATGCTTAATTCAGCTACACAAGTTTCCCATGACAGGTGAGATTTCTCTCCCTCTTCTTGTTCGTTAACAGATTCTTCTTCATCAACCTAAAAAAGACCAAAATATAATTACTTTAGAAATAACATTTTAAAAAATTAATTTAATTATTTCAACGTCATACTCAGTTATTACAAACCACATCCATATTTTCCTCTTTCTCTGAATCAACTTCATTTATATTGTTATCTATTTCAAATATTTCCTGGCATTTATTGTGAACTTCTAATGCCACTTCAAGGTTTTCCTGCAAGGTAGCATTTTTAGCAAACAGTATTTAACGTTAGAAAACGATACATTGACTGAAGATTGCTTTGGCATGAAACCCAAACTCCCCGAAGTAGCAACATTTTAAGAAATGTAATTTATTAAATTATATATATATATATATATAATACGCTCACTGCGCGTGCGTAGTTTGAGCACTGTCGGATTGTGTAGAGTCTCATATGGAGACGTTCACAGTGTTCGCTATATACAAAGCTCACCTTTATAGGTTTGAGCACTGTGGTGACTCTACAATACAATCCATACAATGTGTAACCGTACGTCCTGTGTCCCAAGTGCAGGAGTCACCATGTCACCATTTTAACATGGTGATAGCCGGGAGGGCACATTGTATATACACTTTATATATATATATATATATATATATATATATATATATATACATATATATATATATATATATGATAATGATAAGGATTCTCTGGATTTGTTTTAAATTTTTATTAAGCTTTCAACTCGGTGCTTCGAGCCTTCGTCAGAATGTGACAATATATTATTTACAAAGATTTTGTAGGCGTTTGGAGCGTCTGATTGGTGGGTTAGTATTTGAGTTGATATTATTGGATGGTATAAGATGCGTTGTCATGGTTTCGGGTGTATCGATTGCGTTAATGAAATTCGAGTGTTTTATTTTAGTCGTTGTGTTATTAGTTTGTTGTTTTGGTTTTGTCTTTAGTTGTGAATAGATGATGGGGACAGGGGCGGATCTAGAGTATGTCAAATCCGTCGCGCGACTGATGTTTGAAACTCAAAAATTACCTATTCATATTAGTTAAAAATCATTAATTATTCTTACTTTATTATCGCATTTACTTCGTGATAAAAATCCAGCTTTATTTATTATTGAAAACTAATGACTAATCAATGAATATCTCCTTGGTAACCAGATCAGTTGAATTTTAATTGACCTGGAATAACCGACTGATAAGCGGGGTGGCTTGACTGGTTCGACTTATAAAGGAGTCTATGAACGCCAGAAACGCTATTTTATTGGTCAATGGCCAGATCAGTGGACAGTCTGAAATAATCTCGACCGATAATAGGGGTGGCCGGACCTATAAGGGAGTCCACTTGCTATCGTGTAATTGGTTCGTTTAAATTTTTGTCTTACTGTGATTGGTTTGACCTATTTCGACTGATAGCCAACTGAACTAACATAGTCAAGCTCACTGTCTGAATTGAATGTTTGATCGTTTCATAATAATTTTCTAAAGCATGATAGAAACTAAACTACAATCAGATGGAATTTATGGAAATCTTTTACAAATTCATATGTTGACATGAATGCTGCTTTACCAAACTGGGAATTTTTTCAAGAGGGCGAAAAGTTTATGGATGAATTGTAAATGCTTGGCAAAGACGATCTCGCGAGCGACATTTCAGTCATTGATGTTCAAAAGCAAGCCAACATTGTTTTGAGTTTTATCAGCAGAAATTTACATCCAAAATCGTAAGTAAAGGACAACTGAAGTGTATGCATGAATGTAATATATCAAAGTCAATTTATGCGAGTGTGTGATGCGATTTATGTTAATATGGCGTATGGTAAGCAGATAGATGCTTCTAAAATTGTTGTTGCCGAAGGACTTTTAGCTATGATTTCTTTAGTGCCTAGGGAATCGTGACCGTATATGGCAGCGAAATCCTACATTCCTGCAAATATATTTCAATGGACAAAAAATCTGTAGCCATAAGGCGCCATACTGTTATTTACTTTATCATAAACAAATGTTTGGGGCTTTTCAGTTTATGATCATTGATCATTCAATCATTAGACAGTTATACTACATATTGTTTAAGATTTGAGAAAACTAACATTGATTACATGAGAAGCTGTTTACTATAACCTGTGATTTTGAGTCTTCTGATCCATGAAGCTTTTTATTTTGACAATTTGACTGGAATGGTATTAAACCTTAGTATTTCAGATACATGAAATGTTGTCCCATGTCACATATTGTCCCCTTTTCTAACTGAACACCTCATGTAGAGATGTAAAGTTGTGTTAATCTACGGCTCATACCAGATTGTTTGCCATAAATTCCAAAGGGCTATTGATGTATGAAAAGCATTTTCTATAAAGTAAAAATGTCTTCCTATGTATGCAGATAAACCTTGAAATTTGGCAAAACAGCAAAGTATTTTCATGATCACTAGGTAATTTTTCTGATGATCATTATAATTTCTAAACTAAATTATTTCAGATTTACATTTAAACGAGCTTTGATCATATGAAATGATATTTATCATAACCAGTAAGCATGACACATGAACCAATTTTAACATTCATGTAATTATATAATTAAAGACATGTTGGTTACATTCTGTTTGTAATTGATAATACAATGCTACTAGTGATTGCTATATAGCACACCTTGAAGAAGATAATAGTCAAGTGAAATGCCTAATAAACATTTATGGCATTCAGCTGTCCTTATCTGCAAGTTTTCACTCTGATAATTTTTGCTTAAGCTTTGGCAGAAAAAAATTTTGAGTTTTTCCTCAAAAGGTGAATTTGCTAATACTGATGTGGAGATGGGTAAAGGGTTACAATAAACTTGCATGGTTTGAAGTCTGAGCTTTTCTATATCTATGAACTGTCACTTGTAGTACCAAATTTCTAACTTAACTCATTACATAGAGGTTTGAATGGGGTCTCTAGGGGGGGGGTCTATGCTTGACAACTTGGTAGAAATTTTTAAAGGCTATATCTGTTTTTGAATATAGCATTATTGTAAAATAAATTTTACGTTCCTAGACATGCTAATGAGCCATATATTTGGCATAATAATGAGCCTAAATATTTGGCAAAACATTCAAGTATTGTTCACTTCATTTTTTTTTTTGAAAAAAAACGTAACCAAAATGTGTTGTATTTATGCAAAAACGATGCCCACAAAATACATTTTGTAATGCTCTGAAACGCTGAAAATGGCATTTTTAAGGCTCTGAAATTCAAAATTTCTCAGGAGAGATAGCCTCAGACCCCCCCAGGTGCGGAGCGCCTCCGATGTTTTATGACTGATGTTTGAAAAATCCTAGATCCGCCCCTGGATGGGGATGTCAATATGTCTGTTAATTGTGTTGTTGTCTTTGCTGTACCATTGCCAACAACACAATTAACACACATATTGACATCCCCATCATCTATTCACAACTAAAGACAAAACCAAAACAACAAACTAATAACACAACGACTAAAATAAAACACTCGAATTTCATTAACGTAATCGATACACCCGAAACCATGACAACGCATCTTATACCATCCAATAATATCAACTCAAATACTAACCCACCAATCAGACGCTCCAAACGCCCACAAAATCTTTGTAAATAATATATTGTCACATTCTGACGAAGGCTCGAAGCACCGAGTTGAAAGCTTAATAAAAATTTAAAACAAATCCAGAGAATCCTTATCATTATCATAATATGCCTGGGTTACCAATTTTCAAATATATATATATATATATATATATATATATAGACAATAGCTGTATTTTTTTCGGAGTTTCACGCAGTAGGGCGATCTTCAGGCAACTGACAGATTATTTATTATATATTCACTGTATATACAATTCGTTACGAGGTGTTAAATTATCGACGGCATGCACTAAAAAGTTCAGAGCGTTTATTTAAAATTTCCTTTTTATGTCCTTTTAGGATTAGTAGTCTTTTTTGTTCGGAGGTGGAAGTTGTTTGATGAAGTCCCTCTTGATGCTGTAGTTTTGTTTGTTTTCTTTCTGTATCCACGTGTTTTTGTAAATCATATATAAACAAGTGTATATACACAAAGTGTATATACAATGTGCCCTCCCTGCTATCACCATAGTGCAATGGTGACTCCTGCACTTCGGACACAGGATGTACGGTTAGGGTTAGGGTATATATGTGCAAATGTGCTATTACACTTTTACAAATCATGACAGTTTTTGAATGTAACCTTTTGTGATATATCAGTATCATTGCAGAATTTTTGTTTTACACTTTTGACTTCTTCTTCATGCATTTCATCAATGCTATCACATGTAACAGGGGCAGTTGGAAGGATCTAAAATAAATAAGAATACATTGAAACTTTATGGTATGAGTGTCCTTCACAATAACAGAGATAGTTGCTGCTGCAACAGAGCAGAATAACAAAGTTTTGTGCAACACGAATTATCAATTATTTCACATAAATTGAACGGTATTTATACAGAACTAACTAGCAATTTTCTAAGAGATCCATAACGCATGCTAAAGACTTTCATTTTATTTACTATGTACATATATAAGTAAGTGACATTTTACTAACCTTAGAAAAATGAAGCGTTGTTTGTGATGCTTCTACAACATCTTGGGATTTTGCCATACCATTGTGTTTATTTGAACTGTGCTTCAAAAAATTATCATCATTCATTTCTGCACCACAATCATTACATTTAACCTTTCGTCTATAAATTCGTGTACGTTGAGGTTTTGTTTTTTTTGTGCGGGGCTCTTGAACGTTATCATCTTTAATTCTAGTTGCTCCTCCCTCTTAAGAGAAATTTCAATTAAATTAGAAATGTATCTGAGTAAACATCAAAATTATGACAGCATACAATGAACTCACAACTCTCCTTCGGTAATTGTGGGTCTACAAACTTTGGTAAATATAACTAACCTTCCATTGAAAAGTAGTCTCTCTCGCCCAAATATACAAAACCGCATAGAATTTGATGAAATTATTGGATTGAAGCTCGCTTCACGGCTTTCGACAATGCAAAAATTAGCATTAGCATGTTTTTACATTTGCAATCAATGTATCTGTTAGATTTGTGATGTAGCCATCTACCTTCTTTACTATATATTGACTTACACCAACAAATAGAGATATTTCAGATAACTGTTATGATCACATTTAATGTTCAACGTCAATGTCTATGTTCTACGATCTATCATACAATGGTTAAACTACTTCTATTTATACAAGATATTAAGTGTGGATATATTTGTTTCTTTAGTAAATATGGTTAATTTACAATTAACGGAAAGCTATTAGGAACTATAAAAAATATTGTGATTATTGCACATAAGTATCTCTTAAAATAATCATTTAGTTAGTTTCACTTGACTTAATTATTTACTAATTACAGGAAGAATATGAGAGCATATCGTAACAGTATCCAGCGGAATCTGTATCTGCATTTATAATTACTTCATCCTACACATCTCACAGACACATTGCACTGTAGAGTTAAGCTAAAATTGTCAAAAATGAAGCTTTGTTATTTCCACTTAGTAATCATTTAGTTGTTTTCGATGGTATGGCAATTTTTCTACTTCTTGAACACTGCCCTGCCACTTGATGGCAATATGCCCTGCAAAAGCACAGTTTTTAAAAATTGGGGGTGTCACACCCCCCTACCCAACACCCCCACCAACAGTTACGCCCCTGCCTAAAACCACGGTTGTTAATTATCTCATTTCACAACTAAATCTAGGCTAGAACTCGAAATGTCAAAACAAAACCGCAACGAAATGAAAACGTTGGCACAATACAAAAATTACGAAATAATCCGATAGGATTATTTCAAATCAGCTCAAAAAATTAAACGAAACTGATTTTAATACATTACATTCACTTGATTCTTCTTATGTTCTTTTCTATTTAATCTTGATGATAAGTATTCAATTTCAGGTTTAGAAAGGCATTATTTTCAAGAAATCTTTTCTTAATATTAAGACATATCGAAATGTAGATTTAGGTGATAAATGATGCTTCAATACTTTCAAATAATACATGTCTCGGTAACTTGTTGCAAAAAGATTAAAATGATTTGATTTCATGAGACATTCCACAAAAACAAAAAAAAATTTTTCTGTGATGTTTTTCAGGGTAAATTACACACAATAAAAGTTCTCTTTATTGCATATCCTTCGTGTTACGTTGAAACAGGGTTGAAAAATTTGACATTTTAGTGTTTTTATCTCATGTAACTTAAATATTAGGTTATGGTATTTTGAAAAATAAGGTAGAGAATACTTGATTACAAAAACATTTATTTATTGTTTTTTTTTGAAAATTTCTAAGATCCCATTTTGAACTTGTACGAATTTTTTATCACCAACAAACCTCACAAAAAGAAGGAAACATAATTGTAAGTGCTATTCCTCATAGTCCAGCTGTTAATGAAAAAAACCACCTAACCCTTCACTTTGATGATACAAGTATGAAACTTTCTCACATTCTTACTATGCCTAGTAACACAAAATTTTGATATAGAGCCAGCCCATATTTTACATTTAAAACGAGTTCTGCGAATGTCGTGTTTGATGACGTCGTCGGTAGTAAAAAAAATAAAGTTCAGAGAAATCTGCAATTTACCTGTATAGTCTTATACCACAGCTAAAGACGATAGAAAAACTATATTACAACTTTTTCTTTTGGGCAATACTTTCCCAAATATTGTGTATGGAATATTCTGAAAAGTGCTGAGTCAGCACTTTTGTATATATTTTATATAGATATATTTATGTTACTTGTGTTTGCATTCAGAATACTTACTCATTCTATCCTTTAACATTTCAGGTTTTTAGCACTTTTTGTCTCTTCATTGTTTTGAAACGCTTCAAAACAATCACCTAATTGATTCTCAACTCGTGCATAAAAATCGTACGCACTGACCAACCATAAAGTAATCTATTATTATGTCCTTACTTGTTCTTGTTGTAAAACTTTGCTTTGAGATTTTAATGACGTGTGTCGAGGATTCCGCTCCTCAGCTGGTTCACTAACACTCTTCGTTTTGAACCTTTTATTTTACAAGCTAACAAGCTACACAAGTACATCACTGGTGTAATTTTACGCTATCTAATAGAGTTAAATATTTACATGTTATTTATACTATCGGTAATTACATAAGTCGAGCTTTCCTTTACGTCATTAGCAGTACTCACTCTTTCATTGCGTTTCAACTTCTCACGCGTTGCAACAAAAAAGAAGAAGAAACTAAACAAACAAACAACTTACAATACGTACTTAAAACAAAGAAATGTTAAAGTGCAACTAACATAGTTACGACAATTTTATTGCTAAGCTAAAAAGAATACAATATCCCACACAACGTGCGCATAATTTGCGTGTTCAATTTAATCTAGAAGATTCTTTTTTGAACAAGATGTAAACACAACAAAGCATGCACATGTAGTGTCAATAACTGCTTCCCTCGTAGAATATTATGTAACTCATGGACTGGAAACTATGCATTTAGTTGTCAAAAAGACACATCAGAACGTCTACAATGTCCATCAAATTCAAAAAGAAAGGATGCAGGAGTTGGGTACTCCTCATTTGCGAAAAATCTGCAAGAATTTATTAAAATTGATATGTTACCGGTGAATTTAGACGTAAAGGGTCTCGGTAGAGGTAATGGAATAGAAGAAACGCTGAAAGAACGCCAAGCATCATGGCATAAGTCATGTAGGGATCTTTTCAACAATACAAAATTGCAACGTGCCCTGAAAAGAAGTTTAAGTGCGGAGAAGACAGACGAAGAACAAACATCTGAAATCGAAAAAGGACGTCCAGTTAAAGCCAGAAGAGCAAGCTTGCCTACAGTTTCAAAGAACGAGTGCATTTTCTGTGATAAACTAGACAACTCTTCAAACCTTCGTGCAGCTTCAACGCTTGAGATAGACGGCAAGGTTAGGGAATGTGCTGTTTTGCTAAACGGCAGACAACTTATAGCAAAAGTATCGAATCGTGATATGGTATCAATGGAGGCAAAGTACCATCCTAAATGTCTTATTTCTTTCTATAATCGAGCAAGGGCAATGAAGGCTGAGACGTCAACAAACGCTGAACGTTCAGGACCAAGTCTTGATGGGCTAGCATTTTCTGAACTTACTGCTTATATTGAAGAACGACTAGAATCAGATTGTTTAGTTTTGCTTTAGATGACGGAGCTGACAACATATTTTAAAATGAAGTTGAAGGCATTAGGAGTTGAAAGTGGATCAATTAATACTACCAGACTTAAGGACTTATCTTGACTGTTTTTCCCAATCTTACTGATCAAAGTATTAGAAGAGATATATTTCAAACAAAGAACTCATTCAACGGAAAATTCTCCGAAGATTGTCAAAAGGATTCTGTTCCAGCATCATTAAAAGTTGTTATAGATATGATACTTAAAGAGGCCATTGTAAACAAACAACCGGCAGAAAGAGATCCAAATCAAGCTTGCTTAACCATCTCTCAACTTATTTTCTTCAATTACACATCACGCGAGCGTGAAGCGTCAAGACCTCATCACACTAGAGAAAAAGAATGTCCGGTACCAATATACACGTCCCTCAAAATTCATGGAACTTATTTGATTCATCTATTTCTAGTTCCAAAAAAATTTCACAGCTTCCACCATCATTTTGTAATGTCCCACCAGTGACTTTAACATGTGGCGAACTTTATGCCCCTCCACTTCATACCGTTATGCAAACTGTATCTACCACCGTCAACCAAAGGCAAGATCTGGAGGAAGACTGGCTTGAACATGTGCGACATCTCGTTCAAAAGGAAGACCTGAGTAAGGACGACACTTTTTCATGGGCAGCATATCGAGCGTCAAAAACGTCGTCAACCTCTTACGAACCGGCAATCATTGCACTTCTCCCAATGTTTCGGGAGAATGCGCATTCATTTGCAATGATATTACATTCAATGTATGTTGTTCAATCAGCTGTTCGTCATGTCAACTACTCTCAAACTCCAGTTATCACCGTAGACCAGCCCCTATTTGCTTTAGCCAAGCAAATTCAATGGAATTTTGCAAACAGTCATGGAGAAGATAAATTTGTGGTAATGTTTGGTGGCTGACACATTGAGATGACGGCTTTTAAAGTTCTAGGAAAATGGCTTGATGGGAGTGGCTGGACCGAAATTTTGACAAACGCAGGTATAGGTAACCAAAGTGTTGTACAGTCATTCATCGCTTGAAATCATGTGGCGAGAACGAAACGCGCCCATCAAGTTACAGAAGCCAGTCTTTACTACCTACAACAAGATGCCTATAAGGAGTATGTCATGAAAGTTGACAATGGAGAAGCTAAAGAATTCCACATTTGGAAAGAAGATATGTCAAAGGATCATCCACAGTTTCTGTATTGGACCAGAGTTTTGGAACTAGAATTACTCTGTTTACAACTAGTGCGATCATTTAGAGAAGCTAATTTCTCCTTATACTTCCAGTCAATTAAGCAACTTGTCCCGTGGATGTTTGCTTTGGACAATGTTAATTATGCAAGATGGCTTTCTGTCCATATTCGTGATATGTCGGAGCTTCCATTCAAACATCCTGACGTCTTTAACTAGTTCTCCAAGGGCTCGTTCGTAGTGCATAAAACGAAGAAACAGTTTTCAGCTATAGCATTAGATCATGCTCACGAGC